CTCGATTGTTGCTTAAAAGTCACCTTGGCCGAATATTGATGGTGCATTGACATGCAGCTTTTTTCAGCGAGTCCAAACTTTACAGCGAGTTCCAACCGTAGAGCAGAAGGAAGAACTTGTCTGTCGTTGACACAAGCAGCGATAAACTCCATTAGTGAAAGCACAGTCCCATACGCGGATCACCCGACACTAAATAAAAGGTCAGAACGACTCAAAACCTGTGTCCGACAGGTGAATTAAATTCGCTGAGCCGTTCCGGTCGGCTGTTGAGTGACATGTTGAGCCATTTGACAAACTAGCCGATGATTGGTGAACTTGTTGATCGCACTCTTCAATCTTTAGTTAATAGCATACTGTCTCCACTCGTCAAAATGGAAGCTCAAAGTGAATAGATTTCCACGATAAGTGGCTCGAAGTCAAGACTTGATGCGATTGATGAGTGTTGCAACTCAAAATAGAGCGGAGCGACTCTGTTTTGATCAACAATCGCGAACAGGTCGTATTTATCGATTCTTTTTGAGCTTCCATTTTTGCGCCATTTTGACCTCAATCCACCTCTTACTTTTGCAAAACTACCCTAATTGAGCATTCGTCCTTAGGAATTACCTTATGCCCATTTTTTTCCTAAAAAGTATGTAGCGGGCTGATTATTGAAATTGATAGAAATATCAATTCACAAAGATGACAAAAATGATATGGAGGGATCCTATTGAAGGAAGCGGGTGGTTGCAATGGACGAAGGACGCAGGTAATAGACCAACTAACGGCAACCCACGAGAGATCCGATAGTCCATCATTTACCTTCTTAGTCTATAAAAAAACACCCATTTCAGCCAGTAGGATCGTTCTATACTCCTTATGTCTTCTATGTCTATAGCTTTGTCTATAAATTCCAATAATCTGCCCGCAGGACCATAGAGAGTGCCTCCTCCCGTCGTGCAATTTTTGCACGTATGGGGGGCCGTAAACCTCGGCCAGAGAACCTGAGGCCCCCATAACTCACCATCCACCATTCGCGAGACGCTAATTGATTCCTGGTCTAGCTCCTTGTTGAGCAAATGAAATACGAGCAACTGGTGAATAGTCCCCGGGTTATTTTTGTTCCGATCCACAAGTGCGAGGGACTCCATAAAACAAGCCCTCCGAACCCTGTTACAAAAATTCGCCCGTTTTACATGCAGTGTCATGGATGAATGTCGACGGGCTCCAGAATTCCGACAACCCCGCAACCATCCACCGACCGGGGTCGCCGTTCAGGACTTAAAATTCGCCTGTTTTACACGGGTTCTAATGGAGTTTGGAAGTGAATAGGCAGCGTGTTCCGTAATCAACGTACGGAACATCAGGCGGTGGAAACGTTTTACGAGCGATACGCTAAAAGCTCGCCAAATCGACCACTGCCAGATAAATCTAACTACTCACACTCCAGTTTTTCATAACCCCGGCGAATGTTGCCTTGTTGGATGTCAAGGTTTTCCGTAGATTCTGGACACAATCGCAGCAGGGGAAATGTATTCGTTTTATTGAAGATACCCAAATCCTCGGCAATTTATCGTTGCGTTTAAGAATTCAGCCGAAAATAAAATTAATTCTATCATACAGGATGTTTCCTTGTCACGAAGATTTTTTTTTTTATTCGAATAATCGGAAACCATTCCTTACCGTTAAGATGTAGTTTCTCATTGTCGTAACAGAAAATTTACATATTCAATCACTCTCGCTACGCAACAAAGATTTTGCCTAAATGCATCAAGAAACACTGGGGAAAAAAAACACATTGGATCTAGAGTCCTGACTGTTAAAAACATTGACAAGAAAAAGTACTCTTGAATCAATCAGAATCTAGCTTAAATCAACAACCAAGCCTCTTAATTTAAGCGGGTTTCGTTTGGATTCAAGCAAAAATCCGATTGAATCAAGAGTATTTTGTCTTGTCAATGTTTTCAAGAGTCTGGACTCTAGATCCAATGTGTTTTATTTCCCAGTGAAAGTGCTAAGAAAATGGTTTTCATTCCGTTGCTCTGAACTTGTTCCTTTTCCAGTGTTCTTTCATTGACCAAGCGGACCTGGCAACTCTTGATGTATATGCTTAAGGGCAATAACTTTGGTAGTTCTAATCACACTTGACTCACATGCGTTTACGATCTCTGCAATTTTCCCTTGTGTGAGAATATAATTGCATTGGTTGTCGCGCAGTCAAGTCGGAGTATACCCATCAAAGTTTCAAACGTTCACTGTAGAACTCTGATATTAAGACTGAACTGTTGAAATAGATTAGGGAACAAGCAAAACATTCTGAAGGAACATGTCTCGCGCATGAACGTTAGTTTGCAGGTGTTGAGGGCACGATAAAATTTAATGGTGTAATACGTTCGTACTATCAAATATCATCATCCGCATACGCCACACTGGAAAAAGAACACATTGGATCTAGAGTCCAAACTCTTAAAAACGTCGACAAGAAAAAATACTCTTGATTCAATCAGATTTAAGCTTAAATCAAGAACCAAGCCTCTTAATTTGAGCGGATTTCCTTTTGATTTAAGCTTAAATCTGATTGAATGAAGGGTCCTTTTTCTTGTCAATGTCTTCAAGAGTCTGGACTCTAGATCCGATGTGTTTTTTCTCCAATGCATCTATTTTGCTTTTTTTGTCTGTATAAGTAGCAAAGGAAAAATGTATAGAAGAGATAGATTCCCTTTTTAATTCATTTTTAAAGGCTTGTTATCTTTTTTTTTGGTACCTCCTTAAAAAAGTTCGGAATTTTCTTCATAAGTTAAATTCCTCTCAAGATCCGTAAAAGACCTGAATTTCCTTCAAAATTCCCTGAAAATCCTTGATTTTTGCTGTCGGCCGGATTTTAGCAGCCTGATCGTCGAAATTTATGTCGGCATGACAAGAATCAAAAACCGATATATTACGCGGCGCAGATAGGGCTACCGGCCACGTGTTGTCTTATCTTGCCGACATAGCCAGTTAAAGTTTCAACAATCAGGCTGCAACAATCGGGGGGTTTAATTTAATCTCTGTTTTTATTTTTAAATTTTGTAGAAAAATCTTATCAAAACATTTTTTAAATGATATCTGCACTATATCCAGAGGCGGATCCAGGAATTTGGCAACACCAGATTTCCTCCATTTAAACCTATGCTAAATAATCGATTCTTGTCGGAGCACCTGGCCCCTCCAAAGATCGATACATTTTAATGGGGTTAAATGGAGTAAAGACAATGTTGCCAATTTGCTGGATCCGCCAATGACTATACCTCGTAAAAAATACTCCCAAAATTTTGAAAATATTTTGTTTGGACTGGGGTGTTGCAAGTGAATAAGGGCAACGTAGCCTTCGAGGACAATGGAGCATTAAAGGGGCAACTTTAGAGCCCCCCTTTTTCGATCCCAGCCCCCTTCTTCCGTCTCTCTGCACGGACAATTAATCCGACCGGGCATTGTGCGTTCCTCGACTAATTATTTTCTGTCCCCGCTGTTTTCATAGGCACGATCTCAAAATTCCTCGCCCTCTAAGTCTCCAAAGTGCGCATTCTTCGTCGCGGGAGGGACGCTTTATGACCCACGTCGTGGTGTCGTAAAACCGAACGTGCCTCCGCGGTGAGTTTTCCCGAGGGATCCGAGGTCGAACATCGCAATTCATCGATTCGTTCGAGCTTTTTGGAAACCTCTAATGGGACGTTAGTATATGAATGATCATGGATCGATATCGATGATGTGGAAATCCGTGGGGATTTATCGACTCTAAGAAAAGTTTGGTTGTATGTACCGTAGCAAGGTGCTCCACATTACGCTCGTTGTACCGTATGCAGGTTTGCCACAGTCGGGGAATACTAGAAACGGTCAGGGAATTTTAAAATGTCAGGAAAAATATTGACAGTGGCAGAGAAAAATCGTGAATTCACATTCATTCGCTTTTAGAATACTGCCTTGCTAAGGAAAAACGCCGTATGAACATCCGAGAGTTGCCAAATCCCTTGACGAAACATGTATTTTTGACGACATTCATGCATATTTTTCTTGAAATTTTCAGGTATTTTAGATTAAATTGCGTGCAAGATTTCTGAAAATTTGGGAAATATTCACAATTTTCTCAATAATTTTTATCGAAAGAATCTTGTCAATATCTGAAGGCTCATACGACGTTCTTCCTTAGCACGGCAGAATAGATTTGACGTTTCAAACGACAAATTTTGCCTGAAAAATATTTCAAACCATGCCTTTCTAACCGTCTGGCATGTCTTCAATTGTCAGGAAATGACCAAAATATGTCAGGGAAATGACAGCTAATTTCATTTTCTAAATTCTATGGCAACCCTGTTTTTGGTTTGCGCTTTGTATCAAATAGGAGAAGAAACAAAAAAATACTAGGATTTATCCCGGACCTTAAAATCTCCGGGATTTTCCCTCTCTCCGCTGCAACAGTGCATTTATTTTATTTAGCTTTTCTTAATCCACACTGGCTTTGGTCACTGTAAAATTAGGCAGATGATAATATGATCAATAATATTTTCTAAACTCTGGGGGAAAAATCAAGTTTTCACCAAAAATATCCGGTCAAGTCTAGTTTCCCGTACTCCTGCAGCCATAAATTACCTCGAGGCTCAAAATGATTTCAACTTTGTTTATGTCTCCTCATGGAGCTAAAATCAAGTACAAGTCCCCAAAATCAACTATTTGTTTTAGTTTGAATGTTTCTTTCAGCAATGCAGACGAATATTTAAACGCAAAAACACCCACACTTTCTCACACGATGGTGTATTTTATACGCAGGCGTTGCGGTGCTGTCGGAATTGTGGGAGTTTTTAATGGTCGGAATTTGTATTTCGCACGAAACGTCTTCCGCAAGTCAAGTCACCGTTACTTCACAGCATTATGCCTGCTTGTTCTCGCGTTTTCTACCTGATATGTTCGTTATATTCAGCGGTTAAGATAGATCATTTAGGTTTGAAAATTTTAAATTTTAAAATTCTGTTCTCTTTCTGTTTCAGAGAAGAAAAATGTGGAACCGCGGAAAAATCCTTTACGAGGTAAGATTTAATTAATTTTATTTAATTAATTTTATTTAATTTATTTTGTGTATTTTTGTTAGGTACTTGGAAACTCTTTGACTCGTCACAAAAATAATTTGCCTTGCAGAAATTTTCAAAAGTGCGAATGCTGCCATGTACCTTTTTCTCTCCACGAAAATAAATAAACCGAGCTCAGCATATAGGAACAAATTTTTTGTCGCTCTTTAAAAACGAATTTTCCTTCATTGATTTTCCACACCAGTAGATCATTTAATGAACGTTTCCATGCGATTCCTTCATAGTTTCGAAGAAAGAAGTATCGCCTTAACTTTCGAAATCGAGCCTCCTTCAAAATTCGACCAATTTGAATTAAATAAACCAGCGGATCCCTTCTCAGGTGCAAAAATCGAGAGTTATGACTGAGGAAGCAGTATTCTCTCATAAATTGACTTTATTTCGGACAAAAGAGCAGTAAGTCCTCATCATTTTGCCACAGAGCCGTACTTACTGCTGTCTTAAGTGCAATTGTGGCCCAATCTGTCAGTTTTTACCTTAAAGTTTGATGAGGGTCCCAAGCGTCACCACTTAAGCATGCGATTCGTAGTAAGAACATGCTGCCGTTTTTCCCAACGTGAAAAGAAGAAGGTCCAGTTTATATAGTCGAGGAAGAATGTCAATTTTTAACCATCCTAACTATTTATAATCGTATTTCGGATGATCACTGACAATATTAGGACCAACGGAAGATTCAGCCAATAAAATTCTCCACTCGCATGCTACAAGGTACATTTTCTCAAAAATTCACTTTTGCACCTTCTGTTCCCCTCCGCAGAGATGTTGTCAGCCAAAAAGGCACTTCTTACATTCTGTTTGCACGCGACCGCGATTCAGTCGTCCAATAGGGATCGAGGATTGATTCCTCAGTCCATCCTCGATGGCTATTGGACGATTTCATCCCGATCGCTTGACAGCGGAGTGTAAACAAATGCCAACTCGGCTCCTCTCTCCTAGCTGCTGGTCCAAATCTTGTTGGTTCCAAAGTAGCGTCCTATACAGACCTGGAACATGCCGAGGACCGGAAAAGGAAACGGTGAAGCTGACCGCAAAAATTTCCGCGAGTCTTATTTTCGCCGTCGCGGTTTTGCTCCGCATCCTCTCTTCCATTCTTCTCGTTTGCTCTCGTAATCTCTTCCTGTGGCGTTTTCTCAGCGTTTGTTTTGCTCCGTTAGAGAGCTCTCGTTTACGTCTTCTGCGAGCAAATAACACTTATCCAAATCAAAGAGAATTATCTCAATTGTGGCATGGACCCCGTAATGCGTGTATTATTATGGGTACCAGGGCTCAAGTCACAATGGAAATAGTTCCTTTTGCTCTAAATACGCCCAATAGAGGGAAGTTAAGTTATTATCCGCTTCGCGTGTAGCATTTTTCTCATGTTACGATCAAAACCATGAGAATATATTAAAGCCGAGGTGGGACTATCAGAGCGCCTCTCTCGGTACGCAGTGGGAAAAATTGATTCTGCAGAACAAAGACAATTAACTTTATATATTTTATCAGTGCACAGCGATTAAGCAAATGAGACGTTTCTGAATGAAACTGCGTTTTTATTTTTTTTTCCGTATTGTCTGTTGTTAGTGTTGTTACACTCGAAGATGAAGATATTTCTTTCGGTTCTGCCGGAAGGATCCTCTGTCAAAATCGGTGGAAGTTAACATTTCTGGACGAGTCACTGATCGACTGGCCAGCTGGCGACAGATCATCCGATCGTAAATTGGCCGGATCCAAAGCTAAAGGGTATCATTCCTCTTCGTGAGAGACGCTTAAGTAGGCGTTAATTGAACGTAGGTGGTAAAAAAATGGACAGACCGTGCACGAGCACNCCTCTAACAAAATGTTCACCTGTGCAGTAGTATCGTTTTTGAAGCGGGAAGCTCAAAATAACGCAAATTTCTTACGCAGATTGTGAAGTTATGAGTGCATTTCAGACTTTGCCGATGCGCTCATCGGGATTTTTGAGGCATTATCTATAGGAAACAACTCTTCATTCTGCTCTAGCAAAAGTTTGCAACAGGCCCATTGGCGGGACTATCAGAGCGCCTCTCTCGGTACGCAGTGGGAAAAATTGATTCTGCAGAACGAAGACAATTAATTTTATATACTCTATCAGTGCTGAGGTATGTAGCGAAAATGAGACATTTCTGAATGAAACTGCGTTTTTCTTTTTTTTCATATCGTCTGTTGTTAACTCAAGACAAAGATATTTTTCCGTTCTGCCGGAAGGATCCTCTGTCAAAATCGGTGGAAGTTAACATTTCTGGACGAGTCACTGATCGACTGGCCAGCTGGCGACAGATCATCCGATCGTAAATTGGCCGGATCCAAAGCTAAAGGGTATCATTCCTCTTCGTGAGAGACGCTTAAGTAGGCGTTAATTGAACGTAGGTGGTAAAAAAATGGACAGACCGTGCACGAGCACAGTTGCCCGCTCGGTGCAATTTGGTCCTATGCCTTTCGTTACTGTGTACGTTGCATTGTGGCACAGCACGTTATTTTACTGGAATTGCATTACTTCTTGGACTGAAATAATCCAGGAGTTTAATTGAGGAGCTTGGAAGACAATGCGCCTAAGTGCAGTTTTTGCTATTTCTAGAAATACTTGTTTGAAGTTTCCAAATTACATTGATCCTTATGGCGGAAGAAAGGTCTAAACTGACTTTTTGATGCTTAAAAATTGGAATTTGAAAGCAAATTTTTCACCGAATATGCATTAAGACTAGTTTTACTTGAAATCATTAATATCTCAATTTTTTCAAAAACTGCACTTGTGCGCCTTCTCCTCCAAGCCCCTTAATTTGTGTGCAGCTCTACAAGGAGAAAAAAACCTCGTGCGTGGAACCCGAAGTTTAGGTCATATGGATCTCTGAAGTTTTCGGATTGAGCATCTGAACACTTTAGGTCTAGCTATGGAGGTTCGGATCACACATCTGAAACTTCAGTTCTTATATCTGAAGTACTTCAGATGTGAGAACCGAAGTTTTTCGGATGTGAAAACCGAAGTACTTTAGATGTAAGAACTGAAGTTTCAGATGTGCGATCCAAACCTCAGCAGCTAGACCTAAAGTGTTCAGATCCGAAAACTTCAGAGATCCATATGACCTAAACTTTGGGTCCCACACACGAAGTTTTTTTCTTAGTGTAGTGCCTCAAAAATGCCTAAAATGTCATCTTAATTCAAACATTTTTTAAAACTTTGGAAAACTCATTAAATTTCTCTTCGGCTAATCGATAGTATCTTAACGTTTCGACAAGCGTGAATGCTTGATTAAGCGACTTTTCGAGGGTGAAATTTGGCACCGCTGTCAATGCGTAAAGGCACGCGGGCGCGGCGGGCGTTTATGAATGGGCACGGTGCGTAACCGTGGAAGTCCATTGATCTGCAAGATCTGTGGAGAGGAGAGCAACGGAGTGACACTCCCTGTCTGTCATCCGTAACTGTTCCAAGTTTGACACCGATGATGCCCGGCCTGATTAACCGATTACGCAGTCGTGCTCGCCGTATCGGTAAAGTTCAAGAGGATTAACGCCCGGCCTCCACTTTGGCATTGGCCGATCCAGCAAATTGGCAACATAGTTTTTCCCCATCTAAACCTATGGAAATGTATCGATTTTTGGAGGGGGCAGGTATACTGACAAGAATCGATTATTTATCATAGGTTTAAATTGAAATAATCCGGTGTTGCCAAATTGCTGGATTGGCCTCTGCACTTTGGCGCTCTTGTTCTTTGCAAAAGTTACGGACTTCATACAAAACGGACATCTTTGCCGCGCAGTGTTGCTAGTGAGGTAGTAAGGTCGTGCTTTTACTTGCAGGAATCAGGGAATGATTGAGAATTCGAAAACTTGTTAACAAGTCAGAACAGTTTGACCGTGGTCGGGGAATTTGTTACCTAATCATGACAGCCGTGTAATTTTTCTGTCAGTATCAAGAAAAATTTAGAAAATTTCGTCTTTACCCTCTATGGCATAGCGTTACAAATTTGTAGTAACGTATTTTCGGGGTTTTTAAAAATTGAAGATTTCCTCTGTGGCAATTTTGTAAATTTCTATTAGTTGTTTCTTTTTATGAATAACAGATCCCCAAAAAATGAAAAAAATTATGGTATAAAAATTTGGTACTCAATATTTTTTATGCAAGCTACAAAATAGATTAGTGTCCCCCAGATTATTGTGAGATCCAAAATTAATTCAAGCCACAGTGGATTAAGTAATCAGAGATTTTTTCCTCAATGGAACCAGCGGGCCGATTATTGAAATTTAGTGTTTGTCGGGCGGACATAGATGACATGGGTTAAATGGCGAGGCGTGATTGGTCGGCTATGTCTTATCGCTGCTTTATCGTGCCTTTGTCAGGTGGAATTGACGACATTCTGTCGGAAATTAAAGAGGTACCGATAGCTTGTCGTGAGTTCAAACCGACATCGGCACGACAAAGCAGCGATAAGACATAGCCGAACAATCACGCTCCGCCTTTTACCCTATGTCCGCCTGAAAAACGCTAAATTTCAATAATCGGCCCGCGGGAAAATTCGCTACAGTCGGGCTTACGGCTACGGCGATCCCGGAAAAGTCTTAAAATGAATTTTTTAAATTTATAAGATAAAAATGTGTACATTTTTTTCAACCGGCAACGCTGAAACTATACAATGAGCTGCTACATTTCGAATGGATTGCACTTATCCGTTCGGCGGCGACAAAGGCAGACGGACAAATTGCTGACGGTTCCTCGTTCCGACTGTCAAACCGATTTCGGATGCACCGAGCCAGACACGATGACCGGCGGTCGATTTACTGGCCGGCATCCGAGATCCGAGCCCGCTGGGTCAACGACCATACGGCACCACATGGGCTGGGCTTTCTGCAACAGAATTGTACTCTCCTGTTTCCGAGTGCACTCGTCACTGACCGATTGACCAACTTCTCAATCGTCACTTTATCTGAAGTCACTTTATCGAGGC